GGATTGCTTATGCCCTGCCATGTTGTCCCTCCAACAGATGTCGGGGTGGTTGAAGTCCCCCATGAGGACCAGGGCTTGTGAACGTGAGGCTGCTCCTATCGGTCTGTAGAGGGTCTCATCTACTCGGTCTTCCTGGTCGGGTGGCCTGTAGCAGACCCCCACTGTAATGTCACCTGGCCCTGCCTTCCCTTTAATCCTGACCCATAAGCTCTTGGTCGGCTCCTCATCCATCCCCAGGCAGAGCTCCATGCACTCCAGCTGGTCATTGACATAGAGGGCGACACGCCCTCCTCTTTATCCTTTACAGTAATTCCAGATCTATTTTCTTCTAGACTTAATTTTGCCATCAGTTCTTTTTACAAGTGCAGATGTTGATACTCAGAAAAATGTAATTTGGGGTATTTGGAAAAACAATTCAGTCTTGTCAGTGTAGGAGGATTTCACCATCCTCATCAGGAGGTTCTCTAACTTGGAAAAATTGGGAGAAGAGAAAGAGAGACTGTTCTTTGTTTTCCCTTTGCACAGACTTGGGAATTTTTTGGAGCCAGTTGCACTTAAAAACTGACATGATAGTAACTCCTTGTTCATTAAGTTTGGCTCTGGTAATAACGTAATATTATAGTTACGACAGCTCTTTCTGTAAATAAACCTGTGCTCCACCTACCTATGTATGATCCAAACAAGGATTTTTTTCTGCCTGTCTTCTTATCAAGTAATCCATTTGTTTCAGGTATAAATGGGCATTTGTCCCAGAGGTGGACACAGAGTCATCTACTGTGACCTCTTATCTGGTAGAAAATCATCAGGAATGCAGACCACACATTATAAGAATCATGGATCTGCTGAAGATGAAATATGGGGTAAAGAAAGAATGCTTCACTTGAATCTTTTTCTTTTTTTTTGTTTTAATCCATTAACTTACTTTTCTAAACAAGTAACAAGATTTTAAGTTAGGCGAGAGGTTTTTAGATATTCTAATAAAATTCATGAGGCTTTAAAAAATTATCTGCCTGCTTTCACATATGTATCCTGGAGATGTCAGATTGCTTTTGAGTGTGAGGGAACAATAGGCGGTTCTCCTGTTGTTCCCTTAAATCTGCCCACAACCACCCAGTGAAAACAATTTGTCTCAGACAGGACCGGTATTTATAAAAAAGAGCATGCTGTACTTTGTCAAAGAAGTTTACCATAATAGCCTTTTAAATTACCGCTAAGGTTTCATATTAATTCTTCCAGAAAAGGAAATAGGGGCATTTGTATTTCTCAGAGGTACCTCTGTATTCTGTTGTTGTTTGATATGTGATTCTGAAGGCTAGTCCAAATTTGCAGTCTTCTGAACGTGAGAGACTTTCGTTTAATGGAACCCCGAATCCAAATACAGAATAACTCGGTATACCATCTACACAACTTATATTGTGGTACAGTTGTAGGCTGTGGATCTCTTAGTATGAAAAAAGTGTATAGTACAGGGTTCAAACAAGCCATAACAACATTGTGTCTTAATGCAAAACCTTTAGTACATCTTGGTTTGTTTGCTTACAGGAAACAAACGACACTGAGGGAATTTCCAAGAAGCACAGATTTCCTCTTTTGAACTTCCGCTCTGTATCTAGCATCACCCAGCTTATGCCCTTCTTCAAGACTCTGTGTTGCGCATTTACAACAAACGGGAGTGAGTCCCAGAATTCACATACTTCTGCATCTCTCTCTGTGGACTATGTTGGCAGTAATGGCATAAAGATCTTGCAGCAGCTTGAAGAGAGTGTTGAATGCGACTTCCTTGAAAACATGGAAAGTTAAGCCGCACGTCGGACGCTTGGCTCGTGGTGAATAAATAGCGAAAAAAGGGAAGACTTTACTGCAATTCTTCTCTTCTTTTTTTTTCCCCAGTTTTGAAACTACATTTTGGGTTTTCTTCCTGCTGTTGTGGAGTGCTCTTCAATAATCCAGGCTTCTGAGTTGGTGTTAAAAAGCAGGATTCTTCAGTTCCTGTGGGGGAAAAACAAAAGTACAGTTTAGTGGTAATTTATCATAGTTACTGTATTCTTTTACTTGTTTTCAATGTGAAGGATTAAAGAGATTTTGTAAATAAAGGAAGAATATTTTTGACTTGGTGAAAGTAGCAACTGTACCATTTATCCAGTAACTTCTCAAATGACTATTTTAAACTGCTTTTGGAGCTGTGTTCTGAAAGTAAATTTAAGAAAAAGCTAATATTGCATGTCAGCGTACAATCAGTTTGCAGACAAGCCATTTCCTGAGGTTAAAGCCTGCTTCTACTTCTCCTTTCTTTAACTTGTCCTAAAACTTATCAACTTCTAAACAGATCACCTAAATTTCAAACAGATGTATTTTATAAGTCTTAGCATTGTGCAAATAACTGCAGACTTACCATGTTTGTAATTTCAACTCTGTACTATAATAGCATTCTTCAGGATTAGTGATTCCTAAATAAAGACAAACACATGCATAAAAGACAAACCTATGCAATAACATTTTGTAATTTGCATTACTTGAGGGGTTTTTATCTTAATTAATTGACTAAAAATATTCTAATTCAGTTTTTTAATTAAAAAACTTTGTTCTTTCAGTGACTAAGTTCACTTTGCAACTTCTGAAATGCAACTAAATGAAGATAATTCTGTAAAAATATAAATTGCTGTATACCAACAGCCTAATTAAAATGAAAATTATTTTATTTAAAGAACACTTTTTATACAAAAGAATGTATTTGGCTGTTCCTAGGTGTTAAAAGAGGTAGGGAGATCATCATAGTGCCATGACTACAGTAATGTTCAAGGTGCAGCTTATTTCGGAACTGCACTGCTACCACTGCAGGACCTGGGAGAGAGGGATTAGTTCTACCACCAAACAGCGCAGCTGCATGTCTGAAGGACACTTCTGATGGACAGCGGAGAAGCACCATCGCAGCAACACATACAACAAAAGGCTTAATAGAATGTTTTTTTAAATGAGGAAGTGGACTCCACTGAATTTTCATATTTAGTGGATTATCTGGCTGAATTTGCAATGCTGATTTGTTTGGGAGGGGAAGTTTATCATATTTTTCATGGTGAAAAGCTTTGTCTGCTTTTTTTTGTTGTTGTTGTTTTACACACACCTTTGCCTCCGGAGAAATTGGTTTTGTAAGATCCACCTGCAGACTGGTATGTGCTACTTGTGTTACTTGGAACATCACAACTGAGGTAAATGTGCTGGGTATTGGACTTCACTCACGGGTTTGCTAATTAAAAAAGGACATAGAAAACGTACGGTTTACTGTCACTAGGTTGTGAGGTCAGGGATTTTTTTTTTTTTTTTTCCAAAACTCACGCAAGAAACATGGAAGGCTCTTCTGCAGTGTTTTTTTACCTAGATATATGAAGTTTTCATCTTTGGATTATAAACTAAAATAATGAAACACTGAACAACATGCATTACTATGATAATACTGCAATGCTCTATGAAGATAATACTACAATAGGCTTATGCTAAACTTAACTGTAAAAATGCACATAAGCTGTTTAAGGAAAGTGATAGACTGAAGTGTAATATTGTGTAGTCACTAAGAATGTGAATTATATGTATTAATATAATTTATTAATGATCTCTAAAGCTATTGGAATGAGCACAAGTGAAAAGTCATCCTTTTAAAGCATTACTTGAAAATTGGAGCAGGATATTTTTAAAATGGTTGTGTTCGTTACTTACATATCTTCAATAATTTTTAAAGAGAATATTGTTAATACTCAGGATGATTTGGTAGTTCTACCTTCAGCTTTCTGGTGGTTGCATTCCATACTTGCGTATTTCCCTTAAAAACCTGATGAGATGCTGTCCAATGGGCTATTAAAATCTAAGACAACTTTTTGCCATCAAACCTTTTGTTTTACGTTCTCCCATAAGCTATAAACCTGTGTTTTCACATAGTTTCCTCGCTAACTGGAGGTGGTGAACCAGTAACTTAGATTGAGGGTTTTGTCATCCTTCCCCTTGAAAGGGAAAGTCCCGTTCTGGCTGCCTGTACTTCAGATGTGCAGGGGATCGGACATCAGTCACTTCCCCCCCTGCTGTGGTGGTGACTTTAAAAACAGAATCTGTGACTTAGGTCTGTGTAACTCGCTAACTTCGAAGATGATCTCACCTTCTACAAAAATACCACTTGCTTCTAACTCCTGCCTTCGTACATACTCTTACCTTTGTCCTGTGGTTCTGCAGATGGCTGCTTTAAATGGCCTCAGATATTTGTGACCTGCAGAGTCCTTTCACTGAAGCAGAATCTAATTCTTAAGAAGAAAAAGTTCTTCAAAATTCAGTATATAAGCAAATCTTGTATCATTATAAATAGGGTGTGAGTAAGGAGGAAAGGGCTCCAACTAAAAAAAGTCCTACTTGGGTGGTGGAGGGGCACAGTTACATAGGCCTAAAGGTATCTCTACCAGTGTAACTTTATTCCTTTTCTGTATGGGACTAACTGTAGTCATTTTAATTCTTATGCTACTGCTGTTAAATCCACATGAAGGAGGAGGGTTGTACTGCTCTAACAGTGGTACTGCCAAAGCGGTATAACTTCACTGTAGATGAATCTGAAAAACTTTAGCCCAGAACTCGGTATCAAGAACAGGAGAGAAAATGCTTTTGCTTTGCTGTGTAGTTCTTTCTTTGCTTGTTTTCAGAATAACCAAGCTTGGCTTTCTCTTTTGGATACTTCAGCTTTGAGATAGCATAGCCACAGTGCATGATACACAAAGGGAGAAGTATTTAAATATTCAAAAGGGTTTCATTTTCCTGAAGGAAAAAAATAGTAGGTGCAACCAAGGTAACTGCCAAAGAACAGCAGAACTTGAAATACGGAGCATTAAGTAATGGTTAAGTGTATTCGATACTATATTTGAATGTAATTCTTCTAATAATATTAAATGTTAATTTGAAATACCTTTTCAAATGCAATTCTCATTTTTCAGACTACCTTTACTGCTCTCTCACCAACTTTTTATCTGATTCTGTAAAAGCTCTCAAATTCAATCTCAGTGGATGAGGGCTCTGTACAGAACTCCATAGACCTCAGTTTTTGGATCCCAGTAGCAGTGGCTCTGTGCTAGCCCCTACACTTGCCTAGCGAAAGACTGCACCACTGCCTCCCTCATCCTCCCATCACAGGCCCCTACTGCTCCAGCTTGTACGTCCCTATCTTTTTGCATTCCCGAACTTTCCACCCTGGGATCCCAGTCCCGCGGTCTTGGGACAAGTTTTCTGGATTTGTGTGTCTGGAAGAACTGTGTGGAGCAGATGGAGGAAGCTGCTGCTGCAGCATCAGGGGATCATTGATGACCGCCAGGCACTGACCCCCTGTATGGAGGGGAGCGCCTCTCCCCAGGAAATTAGGGACTGCTGTTGCATAATGCTTTCTCTGTGTGCCAGAGCTTTCCAAACTTCAGTCGGTACGCTTTTATATGTTCAGGGCAAATGCCCTGAAAGTACTGCCTTTTCATTTGGAAGAAAGAAAACTCTTCCATTCAACTGAACTTGAAAATCTAAGGCCAGAGAAGTACGGTTTCGATGACTTTGTGAAAGCTGCTTTGCGGTTTTCATCCTTTCTCTGTAGTCTGTACATCTTTTGTAATGTTGTGTGATGTACCTTGCACCTCAGAAGCTGCTAATCATAGAATCATTTAAGTTGATGTTTTATTACACTGCATATGTTGAAAATCATTGGTACATGCTGTATGTATGCTGGGAAATACTATAGCATAGCAGCTAGTAATACTGAAGCACTGAATGTCTCTCGAGTCTCTGCTTAAAAAACAGCAGGGTTGGCCATTTAGGTTTGGCAGTAACAGCAAACCTCCATTTTTTGCAATTACTGTCCCAGTGCAGCTCCCCTACTTAAATACTGGTTGTCTTCTAGTGATCAGTTCCCAGAGTTTCAGGTGAGGCTAACAGCAGCCGCGATTGCTCCGCAGATAGGGTCGTTAGATCCCATTTCTGCAAACAGATCAAAGGAATGGAGGGAGCAGGCAGACGGGGAAAAACAATTGATCAAAACTGATGACACTGCCAGAATCAGGCTGAGGTATGTTTTCCATGATAACTCCCCGAGCAGAGGCATCCATGCAGGCACAATGCGTTCCTTGCAACCCCAATACTGTCATTAGTCTCATTCATGTTGGTGGGCAGGGTTGTGAGGCCCCACCTAGGCCGGGGGAGGGGGGAAGGCTTCTGTTGAAGATAGGAGGGGAAAGCATTTCCCTCAAGGTCTGTCGAAGGCTGCTCCTCAACTAAAGAGTAAATGGCCTGTAAGGTTTCAGGCACCATGAATTATCTCAGGCTTTTCTTTTTATTTTCTCTTGCAACGTGTACCTACAGCTCTGGGGGTTTTGTGTTTTTTTCTTCTATCTGTCCACCACCAAAATCACAGCTCCCCTCCAGCTGTAGAAATTTGAGATTACAGAATGAAAAATTGGGAGGACGACAAAAGGAGCTAGAGAGCAATGCACAGCTAGCTTGTAATAGACACCAGGGAGCTTCCCAGCTATAAATGTGTGTAAAGCAGTTGGGTTTTTAAAGTCCTCCAGGAAGAAAACCAATAATCTGGGCTTAAGGTAAGTAACCACGCACAGCTCAAAACACGTGCCAATAGCTGAACCATAGTAATTGTAATGAAACACCTGAGGGATTTAGTTCTGCAAGTAAACAGCATGTGAAACATGAATTCTGGCCTCTACTCCTCTTGCAGAAGAACGCATGTTACTTGTATGCAGCTCTGTAGAATACAGGTCGTGCTAAACCTTCCTGTTGAGACTCCTGTTACTTGTACCAGGCAGGCTCCTTCCCACGTTCCCAACTGCGGTGAAAACGTCTGTTGCAAATAGTGGTACTGGAATCCGACCGCACGCTGCCTTTGAGGAACTCGGGGACCCACCAGAGGGGGGCAGCCGTGCCACCGCGGTTCCGCAGGTGCACCCGACAGCCCGCCCGAGGAGGGCGAGGGCGGCCAGGCCCCTCTGACCGAACCCTCGGTCCTCACCTCGCGTTCCGGGGCGCGCAGCCGAGCTCGCTGCGCCAGCCTTAGGCAGACGGTTGTCGGTATCGGCACTCTTCCACGTTACTCCGTGTCAATTATCCATTTAAATGGTGTTGCCGCCGGAGAACCGGCATTACAGCTGCGCTCCCGTCAGAAGAGCGGCAGCCCAACCCCGCCGGACCACGGCCCCTGCCGACGGGAGCTCTGCCCAGAGGGGCGGCCGCAGCGTTTACCCGCCCCCGGGCTACGCCGCTCCTCCCCGCCGCCCTCAGGGAAGCGGGATACCGTACGTCGCACCAAGAGAGGGCAACGCCGGGATCGCTTCACGTAGGAGCCGCCGCCTTCCCCCAACAGCCGCCCCGGCCCGCTTACCCTCCCTCCCTGAGAGGGGGCGGCCTAGCAGCGGGCGCGCTTAGCGCCGGAAGCGTGCGAGGAGGGGGCGAGGCGGAAGTGCGGGCCCCGGGCACTCCCCAGCGCCTCTCCCGCCCCCGACACTTCCCGCCCCGGCTCTCGCTGCGGCACAAAAGATGGCGGCGAAAACACAGGGCGGCATCCGCCTCAGCGCGGTGAGTGGCGCGGATCCCCGCGGGGCGAGCCGGGGAGGGCTCCCCAGGGGACGGTTTCTCTCCTCCCTCGGTGGTCCCCGCGGCGGGGGGCGACGCGCGGGCGGCG